CCTTGCGGACCACAAAGTTCCGGATCGATGGAGGAGCGCATTTGCCTCCATCGATATGTGGTACTTGGCCCCTGACTGGGACAATCTTTGCCGGTTAGAGATCTACACTGATGGGTCCGCCTCTGGCCCTGCTGATGATGGGCCCACAGGCCCGGCCGCTTGGGCCTTTGCGGTTTGGGCTCGCACGCCAGACAGGTTTGCACTCATGGGCTGCAGTGCATACACCGCTGCCCCTCCCTTCACTCCCTTTTGGTTGGGGGAGACTGAAGATACGCCTCTTGTTGCTGAACTGCTTGCACTTGCTTGGGCGATTGCGTGGGCGGTGGAGTTTGCCCCACACCTTCAGGTCCCTGTGCTCTTCTGTTATGATTCCCAAGCCGCCGGCGTGGGATCCTTTGGGGACGCCCGCGTTCCCTTCACCAAAGCGATTGAAGGATGTGCTGCACTTGCAGAGGCTGTCTCCCTTCTGCGGCAGATTCTAAGTGCCCGTCTTCCGGTCGGACACCAGCACGTGTCCGCGCACTCCGGCCTTCTTCCCAATGAGCTAGTTGACCAGCTTTCTAAGAAAGCACGGCGTGACGGCAGCGAGGTGTACAACCGCATTCTACCTGCCTGGCCAGGCCTCTGGTGTCAGCATCCTCTGCGCAGATGGGGTTGGCTCGCCCACCATCAGGGCCCACACCTCCCATCTCTCCTTGCTCTTGAAGCGGAGGCACGCCGGCTGCAAAAGGCCCCGAGCCTTGTGAGGCCTCCTGACAGTGGTTTGCACACCATCGATTGCAAGGAAATGGATGTCAAGTACCATCTGACCTTCATGTCGTATAATGTCCTTTCTCTATTCGATTCTCATGCCCCGCATGGCCGGCAGCTCCGTGCTACCAACCTTGGTATGATGATCGCCGGGAAAAGAGACATTATGAAGTCCCAATTGCAGGCAGCACAGGTCTGGGCGACAGGCTTGCAGGAGACGCGTCTTCCCACGTCTGCAGTTCTCCCCGACCGTCAGTTTCTGATGCTCAATGCAGAAGCCACCGAGGCTGGAGCTTATGGATGTTCTCTATGGCTCAACCTGCAGGAGCCCTACGCGACGGCTTCGGGCACACCTCTGTATGTCCACAGCAGTCACGTCACGGTCGCCAGTCACTCTCCCAGACATCTTTTGGTCCAGGTTGATGCTCCGCGGCTCCGCTTGACCATACTTGTTGTACACGGCCCGAGGCCGGCAGGAGGGGATGTTGCTCCGGTTGAGGCCTTTTGGAAAGCCAGAGCTCAAGAGCTGCGTCGTCAACCACCGGGCTCTGAACTGGTTATCCTTGCCGACGCCAACGCACATCTCGGCTCGGTTTGCACAGAAGCCGTTGGGGATGAGGCAGCTGAAGAGGAAAACTTGGCAGGGGAAGTTTTCCACGACTTTCTGTTGCAGCACGCCGCCTTCCTACCGTCCACCTTTTCTGCTCTTCACAGTGGTCCTTCGACCACCTGGGTGGGCCCTGATTCTCAGGACTCCCGTCACAGGTTGGACTACATTGGGGTGCCGGCCACTTGGGCCACCTTTTCCTTGCGTTCCCGTGTCTGGAGTGATTTCGAAGCACTGCAGGCCAGACAGGACCATGTGCCGGTGCTTTTGAAGGCTGATTTCTGTCGCTTTCAGCCAGCCGCCTCGTACCAGGCCAGCAAGCGCAAGGCGTGTCGGCCTCCCATAGGCCCAGGAGCTGCGGCCAAAGCCCGTTTCGTCCAAGTGCTCAGTATGACCGGGCAGCCTGGATGGGCCAGCCATGTCGACTGTCATTATCAGGATGCTCTGGCTGCCATCTTGCCTGCAGGGGACCTCCGAGACGGACCCAGGTCAAGGGCACCGCAGCAGGCCTACCTCCAACAGGATACTTTGACCATCGTTGACCGCCGCCGCGCTGTCAAAGATTACCTTAGGCGCGAGGAGGCCGAAGTCTGCAGGCGCCGTCTCATGGTTGCCTTTTCAGCCTTTCTCTTGCACCATGCTGGGGGCGTCTTTTCTGTCAGAGCCGTGCAACGGGCAGGGGACTGGCTGCATGAGATGGATGTCAGCATTGCTCGTGCCATTGACATGCTGCATTGGCTGACATCGGCAGTACGGGCCGCAGTCAAGAGGGACAGGACCTCTTATCTGAAGGGACTCGTGGACAACATCACCCTTTCGGATCTCCGTCAGCCGCAAACCCTGTATGGCTCCGTTCGCAAGGCCTTTCCGGAGGCGAGGTCCACGCGGAGGTCCGCCTTTCATCCACTACCTGCGGTCCAGCTTGAAGATGGCAGTCTCGCGTCGGACAGCGCCAGCAGGCAAGCGCGATGGACTTCGTATTTTGCCGAGCAGGAGGCAGGTCGCCCAGTCACTCTGGACGAGTACGGCAGCAGCTTTGCTGACACTGCTTTCAATCCCGGTCTGGGGGGCCCACATTTTGACGTGGACTCCCTACCCAGCTTGCTCGAGGTCGAGTCCCAAGTGGTGTCTCTTCCCTACCGAAAAGCAGCAGGCCCTGATGGAGTCACCGCGGAACTCCTCAGGATTGCACCTGCCTTTACCTCCCAATGGTTGTACCCCCTTTACTTGAAGACAGCTCTGGGGTTGCAGGAGCCCACCCTCTGGCGAGGCGGCCACCTTATGTGTCTGGCTAAGCGGGCTTCGGCCCTCTTTGACTGCGCCTCCTTCAGGTCCATCCTTCTTGCGAGCATCCCCGGCAAGGTTTTACACCGTGTGGTCCGCGATAAGCTGGCACCTTACTTGGCACAGGTAAAGGGGGGCCTCCAAGCTGGCCAACTTCCGGGTGTTGGGGTTGAGAGTGTCTCCCTGGCGGTCAAGACATATCTCGCTTGGGCGAAAGGCTCTGGGTATGCCACCGCTGCAGTCTTTTTTGACGTGAAGGCAGCGTTTTACATGCTGGTCAGGCAAGCACTCGTCCCATTGGAGGACGGTGAAAAGGGCTTGGCGGCACTATTTCACCGCCTCGGCGTGCCGGAGACTGCGGTCTCAGAGCTTGTGGACCACCTGGCGGCAGCCGCCCACGTCGCGGAGGCAGGTGCCACCGGACATCTGACTGCGGTGGTCACAGACCTACTCCGGGGCACATGGTTCCGACTTGACGGAGCCTCTGCTTTAGTGCTCACAGAGCGGGGGAGCCGTCCAGGCGACCCGCTAGCCGATCTCCTTTTTGCCTTTTCCTTTTCAGCCTACCTCCGTAGTGCCGAAGGGGCATTGGCTTCCCGGGGGCTCAGCCCGGTTGTGCCTGAGGTTGCAGACACGCCGCCGTGGCAAGGGTGGGAGCCTAGCACGCACCTAGGTACGGCTGCGTGGGCCGATGACTTTGTACTGCTTCAAGCGCATCGTCACAGAGCAGCCCTCTGCCACAAGGTTGTGGAAGCCACTCAAACCATGGCTGAGCATGCAACTGCGATGGGCATGGTTCTTACTTATGCCCGGGACAAAACAGCTGCTATGCTGGATGCAGATTGCGAGCCGTCAGATGTCGTTCAACATGAGCAGCTGGGCCCATGCCTCCTGGTACCCAACACGACGCTGGGTGTGGAGGAGCCCCTGCCTCTGGTGGACTCCTATAAGCACCTAGGCTGCATTCTCACTGCCAACCAGGCTCCGGCCACGGACATTGCTTTTCGCCGCTCACAGGCCCTCTCTATGCTCAAGCCCCTCAAGGGCAAGTTGTTTGCTTCGCCAGCGATCCCTTTGCAGATTCGAGGGGCCCTCCTTCGGGCCTTGGTGGTGTCCCGTTTTGTTTTCGCCGGTGCTACCCTCTTTCTTCACGCGCACCAGCACAGACGACAGTGGTGTCGACACTATGTACAGATATGGGGTGGCTTGTTGCGGCGGACAGCAGCAGATAAATCCCCACATAGTTTTGACATCCTTCACCGGGCTCAAGCCCCTTCTCCTCTTTTGGCCCTGGCCACCATGCGAGCTGTTCAGCTCCGACGCATGCTTCAGCACGGCCCGGAGCAATTGCTGCATGTGCTGCACGCGCACTGGCGCCTTCACCCAGTCAAGTCTTGGCTGGGACAGCTCCTCACTGATATTCAAGCCGTTGCAGTGTATTGCCCGGCGGCGGGTACACTGCTTTCACAGGCTTGTCCGGTCTCTGCACTTCTTGAGGCGGCCCAGGACAATCCATCCTGGTGGCCGGCGCAAATCAAGCGTGCATGCAAGTCGTACGTTGCTGACCTGGATATGTGGGTACAGCGTGGCAGGCCTTCTGTTGTTGCCGAAACCGATTGCACGCAACCGCGGCCCTTTGCGTGCAGATGGTGTTCGACGACCTTCACCCTGCGTAAACATCAGGCCGTTCATGAGGCACGCACTCACGGAGTTCCAAGTGTAGCGCGCAGCCTAGCACACACTCCAGTGTGCCAGGGCTGCATGAAGACTTTCCACTCCGTGGAACGATTGCAGGGGCATCTCAAGCATTCCACCGCTTGCTTGCTCCGTACCGTCCATGTGCTACCTTTCCTGAGCACTCCGCAGCTCAAGGCTGTTGAAGCCGAGGACAGAGCGTGGCGGCGGGCAATCCATAAAGGCCACTGGCGCCAGTACGTCGCGGCACGGCCTGCTGCCGTGACCGCAGGCCCGCGCCTGCCGATCTACGCCGAAAGATTGGCCGGCCTAGCTGAGGAGGAGATCACCCTTGACCTCCTCCGCTCCTACCGTCCTCCTCCCGGGAACGTGCGGCTCGTTATGGACTTTGTTGAATCCGCATCCACAGAGGGACCACGAGTCATGGGCACAGATTTCTGGCTAAAGAGGCCGTGTAGCTGAGCTCTTCTGTTTCACCATGCCAATTTTGAGACGCGCCCAATTTGGGCTCTGAAGTCTTTCCGAATGCCGAATATAGTAGCCTCCATTACCCCCAAGGCCCTTTTATGATTTCACACCCCTGTTGCAAGATCAACCCTAAGCCCGAAACCGCGGAACATCTCGCCATGGAAGACAGTCGGCTGCCTGGTGGGAGAGTCCAGAGATGCTGGTGGTTTCTCCTTGTGGCCCCGAAGACGGTACGGCCCAGGACCCTGAGGAAGTGCTCCATGAAGGCCCTGTTGCTCTACACGACGATCCCGTGGCTGACACGATCTCTGCCGGTGCAGAGGGGACGCTGGGTGAAGCGGGTACGCACAGTCAAGAAGCCTGTGAACTAGACCGAGGTCGATCCTTGTGGAGTATGAGCGTGGCATTCTTGGTGCCGGAAACCCAAACCCCAATAGCCCCGATGTTGCTGCTTACTGTTTCGAGGCTCAGCAACACGAGTGCATCGCGAACTTCACGGCTATCCCTGGGGATCTTTACGAGCGAGAGATCGCGAGGTGCCTCGTTGTAAGGCTGCTAGGTTTAGGGTGTAGGCAATAGGGTTTAAGATGCTTCAGGGTTTAGGGTCTTGGTGATGTTTAGGGTCTTGGGCATCGTGGTTTTGGCGACTTTCGGGGCTTAGGGGCTGGGTTTAACTTAGGGTTTTGAGTCCATGTGGACAGGGAATTGCGGGTTCAGGGGCTGGGTTTAAAGTGTGCTGTAGGTAGGTTAGAGCTTCAAACTGCTAAGAGCTTGCGAGGCCCCCCTTTGGCAGTAAAAAGCTTTCCTTGAACCGTTTAGCGTTGTGGGATTTCAAGATGTGGTGTGTGCGGCTTGGGTGGGTTTGGCCTCAGGATGTCAATGGGGTAATGAGAGTTGGGGGTATGTTCTACAGCAGGGGGTTGTGGTAGTGGTAAGTACTAGCAGCAGTCCCAAGAGAGCCCAACCAGGCCCTAAACCTCAAACCCTAAAACCCAAAGCCACTGAGGTACACCCACTTCTGCCTCGTCCCCGAGGTTGACATCTGCGGTAATCTGGAAGGGAGGCAGCTGCTTCCAGAGCCATGGAAACAACGTTTTCCTTCGGGGTGGAGGGTATGTAGACTTGCGGGGCATGAGGGATTAGGCTTGAGCAGTGCAGAGTGAGTGTTTGGGGCTACGGTTCAATTTAGCTTTCAAGATTCGTGAGCCCGTCTGTTGCTGCGGGGGGTCTTGCAGTACCAATTGCACAGGAGAAAGGCCCAATGTGAAATATATGCAACACTGCTTGGCAATGCAAGGGATGAATTTCTGAATCTACCACTGAACTCGCAAGTACTCACCACCGGGACAGACTGCCACTGAACCAGTCAACAGACAAGACATGTCCCGTTTTCTGCGAACAAAATCCCCTGAACCCAGTGAGCCCGAAATCCTCAAGCTTTAAAACGTTATGGCTTCAAGTTCTGAACTTGAGGCCGACTGAGGCCCGAACCACCCAATTATTGGGGCGTGAATAGCTGCCAATGCTATTCCATGCTATTCCTCAGGGTTCCGTGGCATACTTCTACTATTTCTGAAGGTTCCTTAAGGTATTCATATACTCTTCCTTCGGGTTTCGCGAATCATGTAGATTATTGTGGACTCCATAACCCTCTATCCTGGCCATGAAGGCTTCCCTAAACCCAAAACCCTTAACCCCGTGAAATCTAAACCCAAAAGACCCTAGGCCAAAAACCTACACCCTAAAGCCTAGACTGAGGACCTGGAGTTCGACCTGCTCACCTCCATCCCACTCTTTCTGAAGGCTCGGAGGCATTGTGGTGTGGGCTTGTTTTTGAGGTTTAGGTGTTCAAGGGGTGCAGGGCTTAGGGTTCACACTTTTGGGGGGCTGGCCTCCTTTGTTGTTTGGCGGGAGGTATGGTAATCCAGACTTCAGAGAGGTTTTGGTCTTCACCGTGCTGGAGGGTCTTCGGGTGAAGCCTGGCCATCAGGAGAGTGCATGTCCCAAACTGCAGAACCCTTAAACCCGTAAATGCTATCGCCCGAGTAAGGGCTCAGTACCTAAACCCGAAGTGACTAACGGAAAACCCGAAGCCCCGAAACCTTTAAACACCCTACGCTAACCTTACACGCAAGTGCAACCTTTACAGGCCGCTTGTAACACTCTTGTAGAACCCGGAGAAAGCCCAAAACCCTAAACCGGAAAGCTCTGTCTCCTGGCCTCTGGGCCTGTCGTTTGTATCCTGGATGTTGCGGACGGAAAAAGGTGTTCAACAAAAACCGCTAAGCCCACCAGGCGAAGAGCAAAGGACAACTTGAACCTCGCAATGCGCTTACCTTTGGTTAGTAGGGAATGGAGGAAGGGGGTACAATTGTACTTACTATTACCACTATATTACTACCATATTACTATCAGAGTACTACCAGATAACTACTATTACTACCATTCTTCCATTCCCTACTAACCAAAGGTAAGATATAGGATTATTAAGGCCCCTATATTATAGTACCCTTATAGATCCCTTATAGCAACCCTTATAGACCCCTTTATAAGGCCCCTTCCATTCCCTACTAACCAAAGGTAAACCCCTAAACCCTAAACCCTATAGATCCCTTAAAGGATCCCTTTAAGAGGAACCTATTACTACCATTCTTCCATTCCCTACCAAAGGTAAGGTGGTGGGGGGCTCAGGTCGCCGGCATCACGAGCACAGCCTCCTTGGGCCAGGCCAAGGGTTCAGGGTTTAGGGTTTAGTAAGTTACGGTTCAGGGTTTAGGAATTTAGGGTTTGGGGTTTAGTAATTCAGGGTTTAGGGTTTATTAATTTACGGTTCAGGGCTTTAGGGTTTAGGAATTTAGGGTTTAGGGTTTATTAACTTACGGTTCAGGGCTTTAGGGTTTAGGAATTTAGGGTTTAGGGTTTAGTAATTTACGGTTCAGGGCTTTAGGGTTTAGGAATTTAGGGTTTAGGGTTTAGTAAGTTACGGTTCAGGGCTTTAGGGTTTAGGAATTTAGGGTTTAGGGTTTATTAATTTAGGGTTTAGGCTTTAGGGTTTAGGAATTTAGGGTTTAGGGTTTAGTAAGTTACGGTTCAGGGCTTTAGGGTTTAGGAATTTAGGGTTTAGGGTTTATTTATTTACGGTTCAGGGCTTTAGGGTTTAGGAATTTAGGGTTTAGGGTTTATTTATTTACGGTTCAGGGCTTTAGGGTTTAGGAATTTAGGGTTTAGGGTTTATTTAGTTACGGTTCAGGGCTTTAGGGTTTAGGAATTTAGGGTTTAGGGTTTATTTAATTTACGGTTCAGGGCTTTAGGGTTTAGGAATTTAGGGTTTAGGGTTTAGTAATTTACGGTTCAGGGCTTTAGGGTTTAGGAATTTAGGGTTTAGGGTTTAGTAATTTACGGTTCAGGGCTTTAGGGTTTAGGAATTTAGGGTTTAGGGTTTATTAATTTACGGTTCAGGGCTTTAGGGTTTAGGAATTTAGGGTTTAGGGTTTAGTAATTTACGGTTCAGGGTTTAGGGTTTAGGAATTTAGGGTTTAGGGTTTAGTAATTTACGGTTCAGGGCTTTAGGGTTTAGGAATTTAGGGTTTAGGGTTTAGTAATTTACGGTTCAGGGTTTAGGGTTTAGGAATTTAGGGTTTAGGGTTTAGTAATTTACGGTTCAGGGTTTAGGGTTTAGGAATTTAGGGTTTAGGGTTTAGTAATTTAGAGTTTAGTAATTTAGGGTTTAGGGTTTAGTAATTTAGGGTTTAGGGTTTAGATTTAGGGACCCTTCTTGAGTGTGGTTCTTAGGGCTCAGGGCGGTTTTTGTTGATGAGACTTCGCCACTTCGCTTCTTCTGGTTTCGAGTTTACGGTGTTTCTAAGGGCTTCTGGGGGCTAGGAACCTGCCTAGACCCTTTATCTACCCTCTATTAGACCCTAAATGCCCCTTATTTGGGACCATATACCCCTATTTGAGGGTACAAGGAGGGTCCTGGTGTTCTATAATGTTTAATATGTAAAGGTTCAGGGTTTGAGGGCTTCAGGGTCAGACTACACCTTCACTGCTTTTACCGGGGCTGGTTTGGGGGGCTTGTCTGGCTTTAGTGTTTTGTTGAGGTCTTCAGGGCTAAAGCGTTTTATTGGGGGTGAAGGCTTTTTCAGGTTTTGTGGCTTTCAGTCAGCATTTTCAGGGTATATGCACCTGGGGGTACAGGGTTGCTGTTGAGTCTTGGGGGCCCTCAAAAATCAAAGTTTCAGGGATCTTGACTTCATGGCCTTCGTATCTATCGGTCCAGGGTTTCGGGGTGGGTTTGGGTATCCCCGGTTCTGTTGCATCAGAGCTCATGCGATTTCAGGGACCATCCAGTGGGCGGCGTGTTCTTTGAGAAACCCTATACTTCAAAATTCGAAAGCTATGCTTAGTGAGTTCAGCCTCGCCACCACCAGGGGACCCCTGGGAAGCGCCGTCAGGCTAACCTCTGCAGAAGAGCCGTTCAAAGCTTCTGCCAGCAGATCTATACCGTCCAGACTACGCTGCTTCAGGCGCGTGGCTGCAGCAGTGGCAGTAGTCGTAGTCGTCGTCGTCGTAGTCGGCGTGGTAGTTGTGGTCGTGGTCGTCATCGTCGTAGTCGTTGGAGTCGTCGTCGTAGCAATTAGTTGCAGCAGCAGCTGCTGCTGCGGACGGATGCCAGGCGAAGCTACTTGCACGATTTCTGTTTACTGTAGCTTCCGCCAGTGCGAGGGGAAAGAAGAAGCCTTGATCTCCCTGGGGTTCACCCGCAAGCACTGCTCCCGAGATGGTACCTTTGCTGTTTTGGGGATTCCGATTCTTTTGCCTCTTCCCTTCGCTTCGGCGTTAGAGCCCACGAAACCCCACTCTCTTGCAGGAGCAGCGTGCTGACATCTGTGGGAAGAAATCTGGCAAGGTCGTCGGGAGCAAGAAGACAATCCGGTACGAGGCGTGGTCAGCGCGCGTACCCTCGAGCACCAGTGAAAGTGCCTCTATCTTGTGCTTTAAGATCCAGCTTCTTAAATAAGCACAGCGATCCCCTACAGTGTAACGAAGCCCTAAACCGTTGCTGCTCGTCATACCTACTTTGTGAGTTTTCGACCCCGCGAGGCCAGCAGAGAGTACGAGGACGAAGTCTTTGGGCTCACCTCCGTCACCTTCCAGCCTCTTGGCCCCTACTTAAAGGCTCATGGGACTTAGGAACTAGGGTAATAAATAAGGTAACTATACTTATAATTACTTACAAGCCCAACTAGGGGACTTATTATAACCTTGCCTACTAAGGATGATGGCTACGGCTATGCATACCCTATTGTTTGTTTTTTCTGTTATCAACCCTTATAGGGTTGAGGGTTTACTTTGTGCACTTTTTTCTCTACTGTCCTGATCCTCGTGTGTTGCTTGCGTATGCACGTCCAGAGCTGGCGTTCAAAAGTAGAAGGTGGCAGTGCGGCGGCCAGAGCAAGAGTCAGTAGCCACCATGGCAACAAGTCTTTCACGACCTTGACAGTGAAGGGAAGCCGCAAGCAAGAAATACAAGCCCGACAGCCTGACAATCTCATGCGAACAAAGCCCAAGTACATCCGGAAGCACAAAGCCCTATAAACTATAAACCCTAATCCCTAAACCTCAAAAGCCTAAACACTAAGCCTTAGCTTAAGCAAGGAGCTTCCTCCTGATCATCCTCTTCCTATGGGGGCTGGCCTCGGTGACGGAGTTCCGGAGCATACTGGTGTGGCCTCTAAGCTACACTTGGGAGACCTCTCGGGTGTTGGAGTTTAGGGTTTAGGATTTAGTGTAGTCGGTATTTTTCTTCCGGATTTAAAGGGTTTGGGAGTTTAGGGTTTAGGATTTAGTGTTGAGGGTTTTCCTTCCGGACGTAAGGGTTTTAATGGCGGTTTGGGGTGGGCTTCTTTTACGAGTGATCATCTTGGTTTTCGTGGATTTGTGCGACATTGGCGGCAGTGCATACATACATAAGCCAGCTGATCATGTCGTACATCCTCGTAAAGCCTATTCAACGATATGGAGCCAAACGAATATCGTGACACGTAGCAGTACAGTCCGCGTGTTATCATCAGAGGAAGTGTAAACAAACTTGAGGTGGAACGTTATCCTCACCCTGCCTACCGCTGTGACGGCAGCATGCATCGTCTACAAGCACCCCAGGCTGCAGAGTAAGGTCAAGGGAGTGGGAGCCCCAAAAGCCTTGGACTCCATGTGGGAGTTTCCGAAATTTGGGGTGCCATATTTTGGGGTCCTTATAACAAGGATCCTGCTATTTAGGGTGCTATATTGGGGTCCCCTATTTTCGGAAACTCCCATGTAGCTCAGGTCCCAGACCCAAAATCCCAGACTTAGCTTCGGCCTGGGGAAGTGTGCATGCAGTCAGAGTTAGATGGCGCGGTCGGCAGCATCACTAGCAACGCAGTAATGGCCAGCAACTTCCGAAGACCGCATCACAACATAAAGAAACTAATGCAACACCCCACACCCTAAAAACGAACCCCAAACCCTGGAACGATATGCGCACTGCATTTCATGATTTTCTGTAGCTCTTCTGGCTCAGCTATGGTGTTTCATACGATGACTTTCTATGCTCTGGCAGTTCGTGTCGTTTCTTTGATTCTTCTTCATGCAAATGTCAGGCGCTGAGCTTCATCGACCTGAAAAAGCGTCCAAGACTCCTAGGAGCAAAGACTCACAAGAGTTCAGTCGGTCAGCGCTTGGCATGTACAATTGAGGGTGCAGAAGCATCTGCGAGAGCTCGAGAGCGGTCCCGGAAGCAGCATCATCCGCCGTATTAAGGCCCCTAGATCAGAATTGACGGTCCAGGGGTCAAGAGTTCACGGTTCGGCCTTCCCAGCTCCCGGGGCTCCAAGCGCATGGAGCCCTAGACGCTCCCCACGCCCGATCCCCGAAGGCTATGTCCACATCCCGAACCTAAGAATCCCTTCAAAACCCACACGCCGGAAACCCGCAAAAGCCTGGTAAATGCCTGACCCCTAGCAAAAGGCCGCATCTGTAGACTCCGAGGTACCCACCTGGAGCTGAGGCTGAGGACGACTGCACGGTGGAGACTCTCGGCAGGAACTTCGAAGAGTTGTCTAAGTCTAAGGAATGCCAGGAGTGTTTCTGTACGTGCAGCTCTGCTAGTGATGATCGTGCTGCTTGTCATGCTGCGCATCAAAGGTCGTAGTTTCATGAGGATACTACCTTAGAGCCATATGGTTGTGATTGCTGATGGGTTTAAAGTTTAGGGGGCCGCACGCAGCCTAAAACAAAAGGTGACTTGCAGCTTCACCCGGAGCGCATCCGTGGACAATGTTGCTAACTGTTCTGATGATAGTCACGAGGGTGCTGGTCACGTGTGCCTGGGAAGATTTCCATAGTCATGGCGTTGATGGTGATGGCAATGATGACGGCGATGTTTATGACGACGATGGTCTTGACAACTTTTATGATGACGAGGATGGCGATGAATGATGAATATTGAGCGGACTTGGAAGATGAGGATCATGATTCTAATGGTGATGGCGTGATGCTGGTGAAAAAGTATGAAGATTGATGGGTGGGTATGTTGACCGAAGCCGATCATTGTATGCGGATGATGAAGATGATGTAGGACTAAGTGCTGGCTTTCTTGCTGTCACCAGCACTAATGTTGACCGAAACCTGAAACCTTGCACCCTACAGCCCTCACTTGAGCCGTGAAGCCCAAAGGAAGCCTTGAACCCTTCCAAAGCAACAAGAGCATCTTTGCCTTAAGATCTTTGACAAGGATTGCGGGCCTGACCTGGAAAACTCGCCTTAGTACGGTTTTCACGAACCTGCTGCCGCGGACCGTGCTGCAGTGCGTGCAGCCCGGCAATGAAGGCTTCAGGTCTGAGGGTGTAGTAGAGCTTTCGGGTAGTGGGGTTTGAGGTTTCAGTGGGTTTCGTTCGGGTTAAGTCTAGTGTTCATGGTTTTGTTTCTTCGCTCCTGCATTTTCGCAAAGTTCCCGTCTTGCTGGGTCGAGGGTTCCAGCCGAAACCTGAGTCCCGGGAGCCCCAAGCAGAGACTCAAACCCATACTCTAGCAATGTCCCACACATTTTTTGGTTGTCAAAATTATGGTCCCTTTTGGGTCCTTTTTTTAAACAAGGCACCCAAGATTTAGGGAACCCCAAAAAAGGGGCCCCAAGTTTTGACTACCACCCACATGAAACCCTGAGTCAAAAGACCGAAACCCAGGGAGCTGAAGCCCTAAAGAACCATCCTGCGGCGGTGCTGGAGCAAGAAGTAAATCTTCTTTTGGCGGTCCGGAGTTTCGGGGCTTGGGATGGGTGTTAGGATTTAGGGGTTTAGAGACATAAGGTTTATAGGGGTTTAGGGTTTAGGAAGGCGCTTCGAAAGCTGAAGGCCTTCATTTCAGTCCTGGCCCTTTTTTGGTCGGGGCGCACCTGTAGTGCTGGGACTTCATGTGCCGACCACCAGCAGCCCTTGAGCTTCTCACAAGCCCATGAAAATCTCTCGTTTAGGGTTAAAGGCTTTACGCATAAGGGTTGAGGAGTCTGGGGCTTAGGGGTTTAGGGTTTAGAGTTTCTTTTTCATGCCGTGCTATGCCGTCAAGGTCAGAAATTCAGCCCGGGGTCTAGCCCCTGCAGCTGCCCCTCCTCACCCGGGCTAGTACACGAGCCTAAATCATTACCAATATTACGCCTTAGAGTTCCCTATATTATGATTATGCTACAAAGAAGTCCAAAACAACTTTTATTCCAATTATTTCCAATTATTACGGCCAACACATAAGTCCAAGGTTCTTCGTGGTGGGAATCGAGTACCTGCTGTCGGTGAAGCAGATCTCGGAGCTGATTCTGAACAGCTTGGCACTGATGGCGCCATCAGCTGAAGAAACCTTGCGGCCTAAGCCCGATGTAGTTGTGTATGTGTATACACACATATGTATAATATATATATATATATATATATATACATATATATATATGTATATATATATATGTATATATATATATATATACACATACACATATCTATATCATAGGTACGTGAGCCAGAGAGAGTAAATAAAGGGCTGAGGATATCTGCACCTAAGGTTTAGGATGTAAGTTCAGAGTTTTATATTTGGTCGCTTTTCTTTTGTCATGTTTGCCACAAGGGGACCAGGACGCTGTGTTGTGTCACTCGAGTTTAGGCTTGCTGCAGACGTGGTTTGTGAGTTACAGAAACCAGGATAGACAAATATCCTACTGTTCAGCAATCAGTTTCTGTTTCAATTATGCTACAACTGCAAAGGGTCGTTCGAAATGGAAATTGTTATTATGGTTCTACGGGCGCTTAAGTAATATATGTAGCAGTTAGTGTCTAGATCCTCCCATTCATCCGAGGGTTTCGGCTTGCAGTTTTCAGGTATATATAGGTTGCTGCTGTGCGACATTGATATCTAGACCTTCTGACGGTGTTGCCGTGCGTTCTACTGCAATTATACCAGTATTCACAATGCAATTGTACGGGGTTTGCAGAGCATGATATTGGGAACACTTAAACCTCCCCCACAGTTTTGAGACTTTGCCCGACTATGCCGCCCCAACAAAACCGTTTCGATTAAGGGCATACAAGACGGCATAATCTGGGGATTCGGATGTGACATCACAAATCCAAGAGTGAGGCCTCGCCGTCGCCCCTACTTTAGTTTTTCGGGTTTAGGAGTTTTAGGGTTTGCGGGTCTAGGGTTCAGGGTTCTGTATGCTCCATGAGTCCATCGTATTGCCTTGTCTTGACTCAAGGTGCTCGTGACCATCGACGAGATGCTCTTCGCAGCCTTCACCGGCGAGCAGAACTCCATCTGGATACAAAACTCTGAGCCGCTGCAGGGGCGATCCCTTCACTGGCTGGAGCCTTGCCCCAAAAGCTTGAGCTTTAGGGTTTAGGGGTTTAGGGTTTCGGGGTTTATGGTTTAGGAGCCTTCGGTCGAAGAAGGGCAGGTGGGGTCATGGGGGGATTCTCGTTAGGAGTTCTGTTGCTCAATGTGCGCCGAAGCTTCATGACACACATGGGTAGTTGTCAAAATTATGGTCCTTTTTTGGTACCCTAAATACAAGGACCCAAAAAAGGGACCATAGTTTTGACAACCACCCACATGGCCAGAGACCAGACCTACTGTACCTATAGCTGCTATAGCTGTCGCCCTGAAGAGAGTTTCAACTTCACCATCATAAGAAGGAGTACAAACTGCATTGACAGCGATGGCGACAATAGTGCAATGATCATGATCGTGCGGCTGTTGAACAGCAGCAGCAGCAGCAGCAGCAGCAGCAGCAGCAGCAGCAGCAGCAGCAGGAGTTGTAGTAGTGAGTAGTGGTTTGTAATGGTTTGTAGTTGGGCCTTCCGTCGTTGTTGTTGTCGTCCCGCTACCACTTGCTGTGGGACTGCAGGGAAGTTGCACACTTCCCAGAAACACAGCAGGACTGCCTGCTGTCCGTGACGCACATGCCCTTGGGTATGTTCATCTTTCTGCCCATCAGTGCCACTCTGGCGTTCTACATTCAGTCCCATGTGACAACGACGGCTTTACAGGCCTCCCGGCTTCATTACGTATCTCCGCTGCTCTAGACTAGGATCCCTTGTGAGGGCTGGAGGTGCATTCAAGCTGGGCCCATTGCTTTGAAGTCAGATTGGATATCCTTTGCATTGTACTCTGAGTACTAATTTCGAGTTTTCTGAAATACTATTAAATGGAACTAGCAAGGGTTGGTGCATCTGATATGTCGGGGTTTCGGTGGAATCGAAACTGGAACGGAGATTTCGTCCTTAAGCGACCCTGAACCAGCCTAAACCCCGCACCCTCAACCCTAAACCCTGAAACCCCACACCTTCAGCCGTAAACCCAAAACCCCAAGCCCTAAGCCCTGAGCTGAAACCCTATAGCCCCAATGCCCAGATTCTAAATCCTAAACCCTGAACCCCCCGAAGCCCTAAACTCCAAGGGTTAAAAGGAGGGACCCTTAATAAGGACCCCTAGGTATATACCCTGAATAAAGCTATTATATACCCATTATATAGCCCGTTATAGGGTAGGGGTACCCATTAAGGGTCCCTCCTTTTCCCCTTTGATAAGCCCTACATTCTGCTCTGGCTCCGACTCCGCTGTCCCGGGCCTTATGAGCTGGAAGTCGGCAGCTTCGAAAGTCAGGGCTGGCGCCCTTGAAGGATCCATGAGTCAAAGGGGAAAGGAGGGACCCTTAATGAGGACCCCTATAACGGGCTATATAATGGGTATATTAAGGGTATATAGTTAGGGGTCCTTATTAAGGGTCCCTCCTTTTACCGTTGGAGCACTCCACGGGGCAAGAATAGGGCTCCACTGTAAGGAATTTTTGCTCTCGGGTCCCGGGCCGCCACCCCCCTCCCCATGGTATCCCCCCACCCCCCCTGCTGGCCTGCTGCTGCACGCCCACCCGCCCTGCGCCCCGCCGCACCTTGCCCGCCCCTGGGCTTGTGCGCGGATCGGGAGTGTCGCACTATGCCCTGCCGTGTGCGGAAAGCGGCAATCGGCTCAGTAGTTTCCAGCATCTGACATGAATGGCAATGCTGAATTATGTGTATGGCGATGGTGATGGTGGCAGATATTCGAGGAAGGTATTAATGATGAAGATGACGGCGACAAGGATGATGTTGAGCATGGTCTGATTGTCGACTCATGTCCCGGTCTAGAGCAGCACAACATCATGAGCAGTATCACCGGTGCCACAGCAAGAGGGAAGACAAGGAGTAACACATAAGAACGTCGCGGCAAAAAGAGTACCACCACAGGCCCCGCACCACAGGGGGGGCGGGGGTGAAGGCGGGAGGATACCATGGGGTGGGGGGGGGAGGGGGGGTGTGGCAGCCCTGCATCATATATACCAGATAGGGCACTGTAACGGGCGCTGACATATAGGGATCCCTTGTAAGCAGTACGGCCACTCCGGGGTTGAAGGTCGGCTACTTTACTAGTTCCATCTTGAAGGAATCCTGGCCCAAGGCAGGTGCACGCAAGTGCAAAAAATCAGATAGTTGTTGCTTCTGTTGCCACTGTCATCTTCTAAAGGGAACGTCATCTGGACAGCGCTTGTCATCGTCATTTCGACTTTCTTGTTTCCGCTCTGCCGCTGCTGCTGCTGCTGCTGCTGCCATTTTACTGCTGCTGCTGCTGCTGCTGCTGCTGCTGCTGCTGCTGCTGCTGCTAGTTCTTCTTCTGCGAACTGCCACTGCCATTCTACTTGCACGAAGTCTCGCACGTGGCAGCACAAAAATGCTGCGACAAGAAATATCCCAGCCCAGGCCCAGGCAACGTATTGCCTCTGCGATCTCAAGGCAGCCGGAAATCTGTGTAGTACAGTTCCTTACTGTATCACATAACCATACCTTTCTACCATAGTATACCTCTCTAATATTCGTCCTCAGGGTTCCTTATTCTGTACCAGAAATACCATTGTACCATGGTGCACCTCAAAACCCTGTTCTACTAATTTCACGCCCCTATACTAAGCCCCCATACCGCCTCTTGTTAGTCGCCCGTATATAGAACCCGTTAACGGAAACCTATTCTAATCATTCAGATGCAGGCCCCTGTATCATAGAACCACATTGTAGAAGCCCTACCCCCTAAACCCTACAGTAAGCACGAAACCCTGCAGCAAAACCTAAACCCTAAACCTTACAGTAAACCTTAAACCAAAATCTACAGTAAACCCTGAACCCGAAACCCTAAACCGAGCTGATTTCTGGAGTCATCAGGGCCCAAGAGCTCTAAAGGACTTAGGGTCTCGGGCTTTTGGAGTTTGGGGTTTAAGGCTTAGGGCCTAGGGTTCTGGGGTTTAGGGTTTAGGGCCTTTGAGGTTTAGGTTTCAGTGATACTGGGTTTGGGTTCAGGGTTTGCTTTTGGGTTTGGGGTTTAGGCAATTTAGGCTAGGTCGTGCTGCATTCAGGGTTTGGAGAGCATTTGGGGATCCGTAGGCGGCTTCGCGGTTTAAATACGGCGATGTCAACTACAAATGGACTGCTGCTAGTAATGGAACGGCTATCAGTACTGCAGCTGCTGCCCTAATACCACCACCGCAACTACTTCTCCTGCTGCAGCTTTTGTCAGCACACACAGGCACCTTTTGGAGCCTTAAACAAACACTCTTAACGCCGATGGCGATATCGAGCGATGTTGAGGCTGCTCTCATTTCCTTGTCAAAAGAAGAGAGAGAGAGAGAGAGAGAGAGAGAGAGAGAGAGAGAGAGAGGGCAACTCCTTTCCGCTTCTCTGTCCTGTGTGCTTCACATAGACTACTATAATATGACATAATCGAATCTAACGGATAGTTTCTGTAATATAATGGAGTTCAATGGCATATTCATAGACTATAACATAACATAATAGATTCCTGTCAGCGCTGCCGAATCCAGGGCGACGATTGCTTCGCGCCGCAATTTCTTGCTGGCCGCGTGGCTGCTGCGCTCTGAACATTTTCGGAGCTCAGCCCCTCCATGCGAATCGAGTGGAGGAGGTTCCTCTTCTGCCTCTGCCCCTTTAAGCTCTAAACCCCTAAACCTTAAACCCTAAACCCTGCCCCTTGTGAAGTCCTCACAAAGCCGCCTGACAAAGAAGACCCAGTGTGTTTTGGAGGTTTTCTTTCAGTAGGCGGTCGCAAAGTTTATTGCATTCATCACTTCATGGGGGTTGCGCCGAATCCAGCGAACTCAGGTTCCAAATGTGCCGTGGAGTGTCAACTCCAAATCCTATACCCCTGAAGCCCCAAAACCCCTATCCCCAAGCCCTACTATAGGGGCCTAAATAATTAACGATACTATTTTGGGGGCTCCTTACTACAAGTATAGTATAATGGGTCCCAGAGCCATATTCTAATTATCAAGGCCATTGGGACCCTCAACCTCGAGCCCTAAACCCCGAAGTTCAGGCGCAACCCCCCGCGAGTGCGGTCAGACCTCCCAAGGACGCGATGACCGTCGTCGAAGAATCCACCCCAAAAAAGCCAGGGTTGTTTCGCATGCTTTTTCGTTTTCTGCGGTGGTTCACGGAGGCTACTCAGGCTCTGCGGTTTATCGGGTTTCAGGGTGTAGGTTTCAGGCTTGGTTTGCGACTGTGGATATGCGAGGGGTTTATCGCTCAGCCTAGGGTGTAAGTCTCAGAGCATTAAACCAAGAAGTACTATATGGCCTAAATCATTACCCATACTATTTTGGGGGTTCCTTATTGTCATTATCGTATAATGGGTCCCAAATCTCTATTCTAATTATTAAGTCCCCTGTACTATGCATGCGAAGTGTCTTCTGCCCTGCGCTCCCATTTCAGTGAGCTCGTGCTTTCTTCGGACACCCCCCCCCGCCCCCCACCCTCCCAAGCTCAAGCGGTGACGTTGTTCCGTTTTGCCTCAAGGTAGGCATGGACCTCTTGCCATAATTGCAGGCGCCTGAATAACAGGGGTTGCGGGGGTATCTTATAGTATACTAGACGAGAACAGAACAAGGAACCCTAAACAATATCTGGTCGATGATTCAGGCTTCTACCGTGCCCTCATCCGATAGTAGACTTGGACTGCCTCACAGCCCGAGGTGAAAGGGAAGCCTAGTGCAGATGCTAGTGCCTCAACCAACTCTCTAAGTCTTTACCTTATCAGCCCTAGGCCCTCATTCCCCAAGGCCTCAAGCCTGATACCTAGAGTCCCTAAGCTCCAAACCGGCATCCTTCAATTAAAGAACCTAAGCCTTTGTTTTGACAGCGGGCCATGGAAACTCCGCTGTCGACACCGCGGCGCGGCGCACTTCACACAGGCTTGGCTTTTCGGTCTCCAGCGACTGGAGGATCGGGCGCATCTTTCTTTATACGACTGTAAGGATTCCTGTAAGGGTTTGTGCCGGTTCGTTCGGGGGTTTCATAGGGTTTTAGTGAATAATTACTCATGCTTGTAGTCCTTTCTGAAACCCTACAAGAGTGCCATCGATTCCCATAGTATGCTCCCAGGCCAAGTTCTGCTTAAGGCTCCTAAACCCTAAACCTTGAGCCTTACGATATGCCTGAAAGAAACCCTTTAAGGGAACCCTCAACAGAACCCTACTCTAATTATCAAGGCTGCTATGCTACAGGTTTCTTGGCAAGGAACGTTCGATCATTTCTTGTTCTGGGCCATAAACCTTGAACCCTAAACCCCGAACCTTCAACCCTAAACTCTACACCTGAAGCCCTAGACTCTATACCTTAAGTGAGTTTCCGAAAACAGGGGACCCTAATATAGTACCCCAAATAGTAGGATCCTTACTACAAGGACCCCCAATTAGGTACCCCTAATCTTCGGAAACTCCCAAACCCTAAACCCTATAGATCCCTTATAGGAACCCTTAAAGGAACCCTTAAAGGATCCCTGTAAAGGAACCCCTTGTAGACTCTAAACGTTAAATTCCTTGACAAGAGCTCGGATGAGGTGGTGCAGCCATCCTCCTCGGTGGCGGCCTCGGGTTTAGGGTTTTGAGGTCTTAGGGTTCAGAGTTTTGAGGTTTTGGGGCTTAAGGTTTAGGGTTTTGAGGTCATAGGGTTCAGGGTTTTGAGGTTTTGGGGCTTAGGGGCTTAGGGTTTTGAGGTTTGGGGTCTTCGGGTTTCGGGTTTTGGTGCTAAGGGTTTAGGGTTTAGGGGTTTAGAGTTTAGGGTTTAGGGGGTTTGGAAGAGCAGCGAATCGAGTTTAGGGAATTTGAGGTTCGCGGGCTTTGGGTTTCCGGCCTGTGCAGGATTTCGGGTTCAGGCCTGGGTGCAGGGCTAGGCCTAAGGTGTTGAGGTTCGGGGTGCTGGCTCCCAATGATGGGAGCCCACCACCTGAACGGTTGTTCGCTGAGGCCCTGACCTGGAGCCCTGTTCCATCTTTGACAGGCTTGCCATGACGGACATACTTTTCGGCAGCCCGAGTCCACAAGCCCGAGCCAAAGGCCTTTAATGTACAGCTTGGTGTATAGGGTTGAGGGTTTAGGGGGCCTAGACCTGTGAGGCGAGCCAGAGAGTGGCATCCAGAGTTTCCACTTCGCCGTCGTGATCAAGATACCCACAGGGTGCTCACTCGAGTAGCATGCCGAGTACAAGCAAGCAACCTTCATGTCTACGCTACTAAGCCCTCGGCCCGAAACATTACATGTGCAAGTCCTATTCTGGCAAGAATGATAAGAGTCCCTAAGATCTTTCTTCTTGTTATTCTTGGAACCATTCTTCTTCTTATCATTCCTACTATGCCTCTTCTTCTTCGTGCTATTGTGATTGTTTCGACAAGGCAATGGGGCCGCGTTACCCAGCCGACTCGAAGAAAAGATCCAGAAGGCTCGGAGGGCTTCGAGGTCCCATAGTATCCGGTTCCTTGAGGGGTTTTAGAGGTTTTATAGGGTTCTGCAGGGTGTTATACGGTTGTAAGTTGCAAGGGTTTAGACTTCGTTGGCGGCCGCTGGGATGTTTAAGATGTTTCCCTTATTGGTTCCAAGAGGATCTTCTTCATGAACACTTTTCATGAGCTTTTAAGGGCCAACCTGCCGTTTGGAAAAAGAGTTATCGACAATGTAGTTAGTGTACACCTGAAGGACCTAGACCTAAACCCTGAACTCCGGACCCTTTTAACTTTTTCGGCCGATCTGTTGGAAGAATCCAATGCGGGGAAGCAAGAGGTCTGAGGAGTGTTCGAGGGATCAGGGTCGCAGCGTTTCGTTGGGCTTGTCAACGGGCTTTCTGCAGGGGTGTATGTAGAAAAGAGGTTCACGGCTTGGGGGCACTGCTGTTGGTGTGCTGGGCCACCAGCCAAGGCCAGGGTGGGGCAGACCTGGGAGTGCTTCGACTGAAGATTAGACTTAGGGGTCCTTAGAAATAGTTTTCAAATTTTTGGTTACTAGCTAAAATCATAATTTTTGCTAGGGTTCTAAGTTCAGTATAGTAGAGCATCCAAGAAAGAGACCCGGACTCCGAACTCAGGCTGAAACACTCAGAGCCTTTCCAAGATCGACGGTCATGCACAAAGCCCAAACCTTGAACAGAAATGCTAAAGCCCAAATCCCCAACCCTTGAACCCCAAACTAAACCATCCCCATGCAACCTCTCACTCCAAACTCGGGCTGAAACCCCTTGTACGCTCCTAGGACCTGGGTTTAGGGCTCCGGGTAAAATAATCCCATATACCCGAAATCTAACTCCAATGTCAGGCGAGTGCGCAGCCGCCCCGTCTTCCTGGCCCCGACGGCTTTCCGCCGGCGGGGAAGTCGACGAACTGCCACGCACCAGGCCCCAAAACCCTAAAAGCCCTAAAAACCCTAAGGCCTTAAAAACCCTAAAACCGGGTGACCAAGGATGCTGGCAGTCTGGAGTTAAAGGCACTTTTGCTAGGGTGTCCAAGGGTTTGGAGTTTAGGGCCAGGCCTGTGTTGAAGAAGCTGTTTGGTAGGGAGACCAAGGGTTCTAGCAGTTTGGAGCCTCGCTGCAACACCATTCTGATCATTTGGGCCCCTCATTGTTCAGATCCCTGTATTGCCAACCCTATATACCAACATAAAACCCTTGTAAATCTCCTACAGTAAGGACCCCTTTCTTGGAATCTCCCCAAGCTCCAACCTTATAAGCCCGTGCAGAACCCTTGTAGTGCCCTTTGTCGTACCTAATGGTACCCCCCAACAAAACCCTGCTAGAGGCCTTTCTTGTCTTACAGTAATCCCTATAGCATAGCACGGTATAGTAGGCTTATTGCAGAGCGTTTGCCTTAAGCCCTCATCCATAAACCCTATAAGCCCTATACCCAAACCCTAGAACCCTTCAGATCTCCTTCTCCAGGTTGGCACAGGACCGTGGAGCGAACCGAAGGCTGGAAACCAAAGCCTTTGAGTCTTGTTTGGGGCTTAGCCTTTTTTTCATCTCTGCCGAGGAAGTTTTTTTTGTTTAAAGGGTTTAGGGGGATTTAGGGGAGTAGGGATTTATTGGTTTAAGGGATTTCAGGTGGTCTTCTTTGATTTTTGGAGTTGGGGGTTCGATTGTCAACCCAAAGAGGTGAAAGCGACTCTCTCCTCAGCTGGGGCTAGTATACTTAGAGGATCATGGGACTTAGTAAGTAAGGTTATAAGTTATAAGTCCCCTGATTGGGGTTATAAGTAATTATAAGTATAGTTACCTTATTTATAATCCTAGTTACTAAGTCCCATGAGCCATTAAGTAGGGGCCCAGAGCAATGATGTTTAGCATAGGGGCCTTCAGGAGTACCCATACTACTTTGGGGGTTCCTTAGTATAACTATAGTATAATGGGCCCCCAAACCTTATTCTAGTTGTTAAGGCCCCTATATTAGTATGATGTACACCGAAATCATCTTCGGGTCTTTCGAGAGGAAGGCAGGTATTGCAAATACAACCACTGAATCAAGAGTTTGCCCTGGGAGTCTACTCATTTCCAGCCCCAAACCCTTCTTGTGGTCCCTGGTTTGGCCCCGCAGGTGCAGT